CATATTTCTCAATTCATTGGACATAACCATAATAAACCCATTCTATGGTAATAAAAATAGCACATATTTTGGAAAATATCCATATTTTTCCATAAATTCCATTTAGTGGAAAAAGTGGCACTATCTATCTATTTTTGCAAATATTTTGAATGTCCAGCTTTAAAGAAGACAGCAGAAGTCTCCTCTCTGCTTCTGCATTCAGTCTGTTGTGAATTTGTTTGGTTGGAGTATATGAAGAAATTCTGGCCTCATGCAGATATTTGAAAACGGAGGAATATTTTAATATCCTGGAACAGAAAATTGTGAATATTTTTCTTTGATATTGCACCAAAACTCAATACACTGTAATGTCTTAACAGTTATTTACTGTGTAGAATCTGAAACCATATCAATGAATTTTCCCTACTCTGTTCCATTAAAATCCACTGGTCTCTCTTGCACTCTGGATGACTCTTTTACCTGTGTGTGATTTTAGAACATGATGTGTTGATCATTAGGAAGCTATTGGCTATTGAGTTATGCAGATATTTCCTATGTGGACATATTTCAGCCTATAAAATTAAAAAAAATTGCTATTATAATAAAAATCTTTAATATTAGGAAGCTTTCATGCTCATATTGGCAGACACAAGTTTTCTAAAATTCTGATTTTTGCTTGAAAGCTTACATTTGTCAGTGGGAGCAGATACTGTACGTTGATTGATTTTCTTGAAGTGAAAGCCTCACTTTGCTCATGATCAAGGAACCATGTATCAAGTACCCTGGCATGAATCATCAGTTTATTGGTTGTTCTTTCAAGTAAAATGGTGTTCCACTAAAAAAAAAAAAAAAGGTGGCCTGTTCAGCTGGAAACTCAAGCAATCACGCAAGTACTTTTCTTTGAGATAAACCTTCTGCCTTGATGTGCAGCAGCAGTGCTTTGTACATACTTCCCATCCACTCACAATGAGTATTTAAAAGATGTGCACTCAAGTGTTGCAATTTAAAACAATTTATTTATTTATTTATTTATTTATTTATTATTTTCTTTGAGATGGAGTCTCGCTCTGTCACCCAGGCTGGAGTGCAGTGGCACGATCTGGGCTCACTGCAAACTCTGCCTACCAGATTCAGGCCATTCTCCTGCCTCAGCCTCCCGAGTAGCTGGAACTACAGGCGCCCGCCACCATGCCCGGCTAATTTTTTGCATTTTTTAGTAGAGATTGGGTTTCACCGTGTTAGCCAGGATGGTCTTGATCTCCTGATCTCATGATCCGCCCGCTCGGCCTCCCAAGGTGCTGGGATTACAGGCGTGAGCCACCGCGCCAGGCCTAGAACAATTAATATTGTTTTTACTGCTTCATCAGTTCTCAAGCAATTATAGTAATTGAGTAAATTACTGGGAGTTTGGTACCACTGCCTTCATTTGTGTTGAGGCATCAGCAATTTTACCCACCAATGTTATTGTTTTGCACCATCAGTGCAAATGTCAGTCAGCGAAATAGGCAAACAATGCCTTAGTGTTCTTAGGAAAGCGTTTGGCCTTGTGGACTCTCTTACAGGGCTGTGGAAACCATACTTTGAAAATTGCTGCTACAGAGAAACTTTTCACATATACATGCATGTTTATTACCATAGCATTTTTGATAATGAACTGGAACCAACCTAAATGACCATCACTAGGAGAATAGATAAATAGATTATTGCCTATTCATATGGTGAAATGCTCTACAGCAATGAAAATGAATGAACTAGAACTGTAGATGTTAACACACATATCCTCCCCCAAAATGAAAAATCAATGATAAGTAAAAAAACAAAATAAGTTATGGGATGATGCTTACTGTGAACCATTATTTAAAAGTCCAATCTAAAACCATAAAAATTACACACTGTTATGAATATATAGCTATATCTATGCACACAGATATATAGTGAAGGTTTAAAAACATGCATTGAAATGCTAAATATAATTTAGGATGAGAGTTACTTCTGAGGAAAAAGTGAGATGAGGGAGGGGTACACAGGAAGTTTCCATTTTATCTGTAACAATTTACATCTCAACACTTCGAAGCAAATAGGGTAAAAGTATTAAGGTTTAATAGAACTAGGTGTTGGGCGTCATTATGCCATTCTCTATTTCTTTCTGTATGCTTAAAGCATTTTGCTATCAAATTTTCTTTTAAATAGGAAGACTGTATAACAAGAAAAGGTTTTATTAAAAACGTTTCATTTTTTTAAAGACAGACTTTCCCTTTTTATATTAATTGGCAAGAATCTTAGTGCTAAATTGAATACCCAATCTTAGTTCATGAAATTGTCTTTTTTGATAACTTTTTGTTTTGGTATAAAACTTGTAAGATTTAAGGAAAATACAAAGAATTCCAAAATACCCTGTGTGAAAATTCACCAGTTGTTTATACTTTTTGCCCCATTCGCTTTATTCTAGTCATCCTGCTTGCACACTGTCTCTCTCCCTCCCCACTCTCACACTTTCGTTTGCTGCTGGTTCTAACCATACATTGCAGGGCCTTTCCCCATCCTACATCCCTCCTTCCCTCCTTCCCTCCTTCCCTCCTTCCCTCCTTCCTT